CCCCCCCCCCCCTCGATAAATAATAACCAGTCCCTTAACACATTGAAAATCCATTGTTATATCATGTGTATGTAAAAGACGATATAGACCCCTTGCATGTCACTTGAAAACGGCCCAATCTGGGGGTCAAAATAAAAGAATTCCCTTCTCTTGAGGATTGAAGTCTTTTATGATGTTAATATGTTCAATCGTTTTGATCCCCAGGTAGGAGGGGTCTATACAAGGGTGTGTCCAAAGGTATTGGGGTGCCTTCGACCTGCGTTATCACGGTGTCCATTCAATTCATTAACCATCTGAAATAGGGATTCATAGGTTCTGCTTGATACATTGAAAATCCATTGTTATACAATGTGTATGTAAATGACGATATATCAGGGTATATCCAAAGGTACTGGGGGTGACTGTGACCTACATTACCTCGGTTTCCATTTACTTCACTGCCAGTCTGGATTCACAAGTTCTACTTAATRCATTGAAAATCCATTGTCATATCATGTGTATGTAAACGACGATATATCAGAGTGTATCCGAAGGTACTGGGGTATCTGCGACCAGCGCAACATGGTGTAAGAGATAGAACGTAAATAAACCCTTGTAGTAACCACCTCAGGCCGGGTGGACGACTACTTCTTACTGATTCCTTATTAAGAATCAATAAATATCCAGTCCAACTTACCAACAGGTGATTCGTCTCGACTTCCGCACAAAAAGTACTGATTGCTGCTCCATTCGGGGTCGTTAGGTTCAGTAATATTCAAACAGTTGGCTATCTCAGTAAGAGAAGGCGGCCGAGTCATCCACGAGAACGTATAGACCCCATCCCGAGGCCAACACAGATAGTTATCATCCCATGAATATTTGTGGTTTTTTGTAGGTACTTCAATCTTGATACAGTTCATGTCTAAGAGGGGTCCAGTGTGTGACCATCTGATGTTCAAGGCCTTAAGATCATTCCTGAAGCAGAGGTAGTTGTTATGCCAGTTGTGAGGGTCCTGAGGTTCGTTGAAGTTGACGCACGACGAGTCACGATCCCCAGGGCCATCGTTCTTCCAGAAAAAGTCAGACGGAAATTTTGGGTAATCTGTTGAAAAAACATTTAGTTTAGCGTTATTGTGGTAATAAAAGCAGCCTGCACGTGCGCACCTTTGTCTCTATGCTGTGATATAAATAAGCTATATAGGAGTTGTAGAGAACGAGAGCGACCTTCATATTTTATTGATAACCTGAAGGTCAGGGCAAGGTTAACTCACAGATCGAACCTTGRAACAACCTCTGTGCTGTTCTAAGTCAGGGCCGTACGGCTAACTCACAAATAGAACCCTGAAACAACCTATGGGCTGTTCTAAGTCAGGGCCGTACGGCTAACTCACAGATAGAACCCTGAAACAACCTATGGGCTGTTCTAAGTCAGGGCATGGCTAACTCACAGATTGAACCCTGAAACAACCTCTGGGCTGATCTAAGTCAGGGCATGGGCAACTCACAGATCGAACCCTGAAACAACCTCTGGGCTGATCAAAGACAAGGGACGGCTAACTCAACAAATCGAGCCTCAAACAAACTCTGGATGATCTAAGTCAAAATCTTGTTATCATTATTCACCACCGTAAGTACGACAGTGGCGCAGCTCAACGGGGTCGAACTGAAACAATAAGAAGGTGCCACGTATGTACCCGGAGCACAGCTCTAACCTGTTTGAAATAGTAGAGTCGGTTTAAGAGGAGGAGGGAGGAGACCTCCATTTACATGTGATAGCGCGAGTCCAGGAATCGAGCCCGCGACCCGAGCGAGAAGAGTGTACTACTGCTACACCACCTTGATTCCCATACSAGAAAAAGCAAGGTAAGAAGCACAAGATCAAGCGTGCTATTTCTACTGCTTTTATAAACTACCTTTACGATTTTGCGAGAGTTTTTCTGACGTCGCTCACGCTTAGAACGACTAATTTCGATCTTACCTGGACAGTTGTAGAGTAAATTAGTCTGTTTAGCATCAAGTGAACTGATATGGGTGTTTCCAAACTCTGTGATATCCTGTTTTAGAGACCTAATAGTTGGCTTGTGATTCTTGCTGAAAGCTTTGGATCCATAATGCATGACAGAGTAGTAATCATAACGGACATTTAAACTGTTTATTTTTCGACTACTGTACTTAGAGAAAGCGAACTGGAATTCTAAAAACATAAAAGCACATTTTAGATAAATATTGTAGTTTAGAGACTAATAGTATTAAGTCTGGATTATTGAAACTAGTACTAGAGTGTGCGTGTTGATTTTCCCGCCATAAATCTTACGAGTTTGATTAAAAATTTCAATTCCCGTATGTGCACGCGCGCGGGATTTTTATTGAAAAAAGCGGGAATGTAATTTGGTATCATGTTGAAATCAATAAAAATAAACATAAATTCAAACTAATAAGAAACAAAATTCAAAAACAATGTCTTCATAGACCCTGGAAATTAAGCGGTTTACATTGAAATATGAATTCAGATCGAGAGGAGTGTGGAAAAATAACACAAAAAATTTATTTCGCTTACTTGGTATAATATTGTCCCACAAGACCTCCACGTGCTTGTCTCTATCAGGTCTATTCTGCTCGTGCCAGAAACCAATCACGTGACCCAGTTCATGTACGATGATGCCATGATGGGCACAGCCACGCCCCAGGGATGTGGTCTGCCTGCCACCAACTCGTCCAACATCTGAATTACACCTACGATTTCAAAATTTTGGGGATATATCAGGGATGATGTCTTGAGAATTTTGATATTTTGCTTGCTTGTTATTTAAGTTGCGTTCATGAACTTGCGAAAATACTTCGGAAACGGAGTGGCCGGAGTTTCGTAAAATCAACTGCAGAGCAAAATGTGTTCAAGAAAATCGGCTCATAGAATTCATTCATACTTACCCATCGCCGTAGTAGAATTCCACATAATCAAGCTGGTTTACTCTTTCTACGAACTTGATGCAAGTTTTTCTCTCCCATTCTCTCATCGCACCCATCAAAATCTTGTGCGTTTGGGTTGTTTTTCCTTAAAAAAATGAAAAATGATAGACATTAGTGTGTGATCATTCAATAGGGGAGATTTTGTGATATTTGCAACTCATATAGACACAGGTTGGATGGATGGATGGATGGATGG